TCCTGGTTCTGGTCTTCCTCAACACTTTAGGGCTGTACACTATGGCCATTTGAAACGGAGAGGTGAAGAGGCTGGAAAAAGCAAATCAATTGGAAAGTTGATTCTGTACTATGTGCCTGTATCGTGGTAAAGGAAATTTGTTTTGTGTGGTTGTCACTGGTGGGCAGAGATAGACAAAATTACCTTTTTTTTTTTTTTTTTTTTGAGATAGAGTCTCACTCTGTCTCCCAGGCTGGAATGCAGTGGCACAATCTCGGCTCACTACAACCTCCATTTCCCGGGTTCAAGTGATTCTCCTGCCTCAGCTTCCTGAGTAGCTGGGATTACAGGAGCATCTGTAAACAGCAAGCAGAAACCCAGGCACCGTGTTTGTCCTCATGGAGCTCACAATCTAGTGGGGGGAGTTTGTCAATACAAGAATCACAGATACATTGGCTGGGTGTGGTGACTCATGCCTGTAATCCTGGCACTTTGGGAGGCTGAGGCAGGTGGATCAATTGAGATCAGGGGTTCCAGATCAGCCTGGCCAACATGGTGAAACCCCATGTCCACTAAAAATAAAAATTGGCGGGGTGTGGTGGTGGGTGCCTGTAATCCCACCTACTTGGGAGGCTGAGGCAGGAGAATTGCTTGAACCCGGGAGGTGGAGGCTGTAGTGAGCCAAGATCGCACCACTGTACTCCAGCCTGGGTGACAGAGTGAGACCTGTCTTAAAAAAAAGTCACAAATACATAATTGCCACAATGCTAAGTGATTCAAGGAAGGTGGCTGATGTTATGAGAACATATAACTGGGTGGGGGTGGGAGAAGGGGCTGAGAACACACTGGAGGGGAATGTGGAGACCCCCTGGATGTCCGCTGCAATTAAACTGACAAAAGATGACAATCTGGGCTACAGTGGGAGCATGGCAGCCGGAGAAAATGGACTGACTTGAGATGTCTCAGATGTTCAGCTCTCCCTTTTCTCTCAGGGGCCATGCAAAAGGCAAAGCCCAAAGAGGTGACTTTGAGCCAAGAGGCCCTTTACTTTGAACTTAAAAATGGGGATTTCCTCTGGTGCGTATGTGTACCATTTATTGAACGCTACTATGTACTAGGACCAACCTGTCACATTTAAAGTTCACAACTTTGAGGCAGGTGTCATTATCTCCATTTCATGATTAATCTCACAATGTTTAGGTGATGTGCCCAAAATCACACAGGGTTGGAATTAGGATTAGGCCCCGATCGGGCTGCATTCAAAGACCAGTTTGCACTACGGTCCAAGACTTCTGCTATCCTGAGCCCACGGTTCCTTCCTCTAGGCTAGTTTTCAGTTTTGCAGGGACAAAGATGGGCCCTGAAGTCTCCATGAGCAGACAAGAAGGCTGGACTTCGCAACTAGAACACCTTAGGTCCGGAACTAGAGAGCGACGCCATTGTTTCTGGGAGGAAAAAGAAGAAAAGCGCTTAACCCGGAAGTTGCATATCCCCCCCCGCGCCGGCCTCCCTGACGGGTGAGGCCGCAGAGGACTGCCCTTTCCCAAGATGGCGTCAAAGATATGTTCGAGACGGTGGATGTTGCAGCTGATCATGCAGTTGGGTTCGGTGCTGCTCACACGCTGCCCCTTTTGGGGCTGCTTCAGCCAGCTCATGCTGTACGCTGAGAGGGCTGAGGCACGCCGGTGAGCAGGCCTACGCAGCCGCTAAACGCGGCGGGGGGCGGCGATGTGGGCAAGAAATTGGGGGCTAGAAGTCGGGACCCTTGGACTGGGAGGAATTGGGACTTCTTTGGGAGGGGTTCTGGTCCGGGTGTCGGGCCAAATCTGGTAGGGCGGTCCTGGCCATGAGAGGGGACTCCGGTTTGGGGGAGCAGTGGAGCCTGCGGGAACTCAGGGGGTGTCAAGGTTCTTCCCCCACCGCTTCATTCTGTCCTCGTTGCTTCCCTACTCCTGGCTCGCAGGAAGCCCGACATCCCAGTGCCTTACCTGTATTTCGACATGGGGGCGGCCGTGCTGTGCGCTAGTTTCATGTCCTTTGGCGTGAAGCGGCGCTGGTTCGCGCTGGGGGCCGCACTCCAATTGGCCATTAGCACCTACGCCGCCTACATCGGGGGCTACGTCCACTACGGGGACTGGCTGAAGGTGAGCTCCTGGGCTTCCCTCTGGGTGATGGGGAATCAGAGGGTAGTGCACAGGGCTGTTGGTGGGCGATAAATAGTGCTGGCCAGGTGCACAGTGCGACACCTGTGAGATTCGAAACTCAAGGCTTATGGAGATTACAGAGCGCAGAAATGGATCTTTTTTTTTTTTTTTTTTGAGACAGAGTTTCGCTCTTGTTACCCAGGCTGGAGTGCAATGGCACCATCTCGGCTCACCGCAACCTCCGCCTCCTGGGTTCAGGCAATTCTCCTGCCTCAGCCTCCTGAGTAGCTGGGATTACAGGCACGCGCCACCATGCCCAGCTAATTTTTTGTAGTTTTAGTAGAGACGGGGTTTCACCGTGTTGACCAGGATGGTCTCGATCTCTTGACCTCGTGATCCACCCGCCTCGGCCTCCCAAAGTGCTGGGATCACAGGCTTGAGCCACCGCGCCCGGCCCCCTAGAAATGGATCTTAGAGACCACACAGACTTCCCCCTCACAGTGTGGAAACTGAGGTCCAGAGTTGGGAAACAGACTTTCCCAACCACAGTTAGGATACTGGTGGGACCAGAACCCCAGTCACCTGGTTCCCAGAAACTTTTGAACTGTTAGTTTAATAATTTCAGACTCAAGGGGTAAAAGGGACCCTGGAGAGAGTACCTAGTTTTCATAAAGTCATTTTATGACAATGTAATTAATCTTGGTGTAGCATTTAAGCCAGACCCTGTGCCAGGCACTGCAGGCTTGGAGATAAGGTTGGACAAAGGCACTGTCCTCGAGGAAGAGACTGTCAGTCAGACCCTTAGCAGAGGCAGATGTGTGAACAGCTACAGGACAACAAGATCAATGGTTTTGTTTTGTGGGACAGATCCCATACTGTGTAGAATAAAGGACACCAAGATTAGGGTCTACAGATCTGAGAGTGGGGAAGGGAGAAACACATCGCGTCTGGGTTCTGCCACTTACTTTCCGTAGGACCTGGCAGTTTTCTTTTGTTGTTGTTTTGTTTTTTTGAGACAGAGTCTCTCTCTGTCCCTCAGGCTGGAGTGCAATGGCATGATCTCGGCTTACTGCAACCTCCACCTCCTGGGTTCAACTGATTCTCCTGCCTCAGTCTCCCCAGTAGCTGGGATTACAGGCATGTGCCACCACACCGGCTAATTTTTGTATTTTTAGTAGACGCAGGGTTTCCTCATGTTGGCCAGGCTGGTCTTGAACTCCTGACCTCAGGGTAATCTATCTACCTCAGCCTCCCAAAGTGTTGGGATTACAGGCATGAGCCACCATGCCCAGCCGGATGTGACAGTTTTCTTAACCTTCTGGGCCTCAGTTTCTACTTCTATAAAAAATGAAAAAGAATGATCTGTCTCTGTTGCACCTGCCCCACCAAGCTCGGAAATGTAAGAAGATTCATCAGATGGAATGGGATGTGTAGAGATGGGCAGTTTTACACTCTGGGAAGCCAGGAGAGATGTGGCAGCTGCAGTGTTCTTGACTGGGGTCCCCTTGCCCCGGCCTAGGTCCGTATGTACTCGCGCACAGTTGCCATCGTCGGCGGCTTTCTTGTGTTGGCCAGCGGCGCTGGGGAGCTATACCGCCGGAAACCTCGCAGCCGCTCCCTGCAGTCCACCGGCCAGGTGTTCCTGGGCATCTATCTCATCTGTGTGGTATGTTGGGGGACTGCTGGTTGGAGATGCTGGCTGGGAGTGAAATGTGAGTCCAGGCCTGGCAGAACCCCAGGAAGGTAGACACAGAATGAGGCCTGTGTGCAGTTCTTGGTGGCCTGGCTCCTGGGAATTGCCCTGGCCAGCTTCTAGGCCTCAGGGGCCTCCAAGTGCCTGTTGAGAGGCCCTTCTTCCAACAGTGCTCCCATCAGGTAGATTTCTCATTAAATCCCAACCTTGAGAGCCAGGAGAACAAGATGGGGTGATTCTCTTATGGCTTCAGCCCCCAAAGGACTAGAAGGGGATAAAGGAGATTTGGTGGGGTTAGGCCCCAGCTGTGACTGGGTAGCTCTAGGTTAGCCACATAATGGTTCTCTCTGATGGTAGCTCTAGGGTAACCACTTATGGTTCTCCCTGGTGCTAGGGGAGGCCAGTGTGGATGGGGACATGGACAGGCCCCAGGCCACTTGGTCTCATCTTAGTTACCAGGTATATCTCAAGTGTAGCACTCTGTGTGGGCTCCCATATTCAGAGGCAGGAGCTCCAGTCTCACTGTGGAAATATACTTTCTTCATAGCCCCCAGGGTGAGGGGAGACATAGGCCCTAGTCTTCTGGGGCTCCATGGTCTGAGGGGGAGACAAAGGCTCTACTTTCAGAGGGTCCCCTGTCTGAGAAGGGAGTCAGAAACCCTTCTGCAGGGGCTTATATGCAGGTACCATCTCCAAGGTGGGTCTCCCCAGACAAGCTTCCAAGCCTGTTGGAGAGTCTCAGAGGATGGTATGTCTCCAGGCCTACTCACTGCAGCACAGCAAAGAGGACCGGCTGGCGTATCTGAACCATCTCCCAGGAGGGGAGCTCATGATCCAGCTGTTCTTCGTGCTGTATGGCGTCCTGGCCCTGGCCTTCCTGTCAGGCTACTACGTGACCCTCGCTGCCCAGATCCTGGCTGTACTGCTGCCCCCAGTCATGCTGCTCATTGATGGCAATGTTGCTTACTGGCACAACACGCGGCGAGTTGAGTTCTGGAACCAGATGAAGCTCCTTGGAGAGAGTGTGGGCATCTTCGGAACCGCAGTCATCCTGGCCACTGATGGCTGAGTTTTATGGCAAGAGGCTGAGATGGGCACAGGGAGCCACTGAGGTGACCCTGCCTTCTTCCTTGCTGGCCCAGTTGCTGTTTATTTATGCTTTTTGGTCTGTTTGATCTTTTGCCTTTTTAAAATTGTTTTTTTCATTTTTGCATTAAGAGGCAGCTGGTTTGTCCAAATCTGGGCTCAGTGCTTGGGAGGGTAGGAGCCCTGGCATCATTGCCTCACAGGTTTTTTTTCCTGTTTGTTAGAGCTGAGGCCAGCTGCCCCCTGGGTACCCTGTCCCTGAGAAGGGAGTATGGCAGGGCTGGGATGCGGGTCCTGAAAGTGGGAGACAGAAGGAAGATGGAGATCAGAAGTGAGCAAATGTGAAAAATTCCTCTTGAACCTGGCAGATGCAGCTGGGCTCTGCAGTGCTGTTCAGAGACTGAGAGTGAGCGTGTGCTGACACAGTGGTTCAGGCCCAGGAGGGGCAAAGGGGCTGAGCACTATAGAAGTCACATGGGTTCTCAGGGTATGCCAGGGGCAGAAACAGTACCAGCTGTTGCTCACCTTGAGAGCGGAACAGGCCCTGGTCTAGGGGTGGAGCAGGCAGCGCCAGCCTTGCCCCTCCAGTTGCCTGTTTCTAGCTCCATGGTTGGCCTGGTGGGTTGGAGTTCCCTCCCAAACACCAGACCACACAGTCTTCCAAAAATAAACATTTTATATAGACATTTGGTTTTGCTTTGCTTTTCTGTTCTCCCCAACAGGGCACTTTGCCATTGGCTGGGACTGATCTTGGGTTTCTCAAAAGACCACATCTGGTTAAGCCCCACCTTGGTCCTCCCGTGATCTTTCCCCTATTCTAAGATTTCCCACAGTTCTTTGGCTCTTTTTTTTTTTTTTTTAATTTTTTACTTTATTTTTTTAGAGACGAGGTCTCACTTTGTTATCCAGGCTTGTTTCAGACTCCTTGGCTCAAGCGATTCTCCAGCCTCAGCCTCCCAAAGTGCTGGGACTACAGGCATGAGCCACCATGCCCAATGGCTCTCTTTTTCAAGAATCTCAAAATCCTTACTGTACTGTATGCTTGTGATCTCTCAACTCAATTCCTCTTGTTGTAGCTTGTCTTTTTCTCCCCATTTGGACCTGGTTCTTGTGAAGACATCCTTGGTGAGAGAACTGTTTTTTTTTTTTTGTTTGTTTTTTTTTGAGACGGAGTTTCGCTCTTGTCACCCAGGCTGGAAGTGCAATGGCAGGATCTTGGCTCACTGCAACCTCTGCCTCCCAGGTTCAAGCATTTCTCCTGTCTCACCCTCCCGAGCAGCTGGGATTACAGGCATGCGTCACCACGCCTGGCTAATTTTGCATTTTTAGTAGAGATAGGGTTTCTTCATGTTGGTCAGGCTGGTCTCGAACTCCCGACCTCAGGTGATCTCTCTGCCTCGGCCTCCCAAAGTGCTAGGATTACAGGCATGAGCCACCGCACCTGACTGAGGGAGAAAACTGTTAAGTGTCCACTGTGAATTGGAATATTTTACATTTTACACATGAAGGAAATGGAGGCTCAGAGAGGGTAAGCAGCTTGCCTCAAGCCACAGAGCAAATCCAGCCCACAGAGCTGGATTCCAGGTCAAGTCTGTTGAATGGCCAAGCCCAGATATGTACTCAATGTGACCCATCTCCTGAGGGGAGACAGAGGCTGCTCTATCCCAGCCCCTCCTGTGCCATGATGGTCTCTCTGTTGACCTCCTTTCTAGTCTGTGCGTCTGCCAGAAAGTCACCCTAGCAGCAGCCAGTATGGTGCCTGGCACATCATGGAGCTTAAAAAAATGTCAGCGAAACCCCTGGGTTTTTTATTTCTGTCCAGCTGGTCCTGTAGAGACTGGACACAACCTCTAGTAGGGCCTGGGGGAAAACATCCAAGTTTGAGCTTTTAAGCAAAAGCCATCTTGTAGCGTCTCTGGGCTCTTGTAGGTAAAAGGTGTGCCACTAATGTCTGGGCCTGGCCCAGCCCAGCCTGGAAAGGGAGCTGTGGGTGGAGCACCCACAGGGAAGGGGAGCTGGGGCTGCTGTGGCCTGGTCTGTGGAAGGGAGGATGCTTTCTAACCTCTGGGAGGGAGACGGTGGCAGCGTTCATCCTAGGAGTCCCCTGGTTCCCCGGCCCTCAAGATCTTCCTCCCAGCCTGTGATCCTAGTACTTTGGGAGGCCGAAGAGGGAGGATTGCTTGAGCCCAGGAGTTTGAGACCAGACTTGGTAACATAGTGAGACCTCATCTCTACCAAAAAAAAAAAAAGCCAGGTGTGGTGGTGTGTGTCTGTGGTACCAGCTACTAAGGAGGCTGACGTGGGAGGTTTGCTTGAGCCTGAGGTTGAGGCTTCAGTGAGCTGTGATGGCACCACTACTCCAGCCTTGGTAACAGAGCGAGACCGTCTTTAAAAAAAAAAAAATCTTGCTCCTGCAGGGTCACTTCTAATTTTCTTTCAAGTGTGAGCTGACTCTCAGACAAGTATTTGCATTTTAATGAAGGCCTCCTGAAAAACTGCAAAACCCAAAGGAATTTAAATTAATGGTAGAATATCAGGCAGGTGGGGTAATATCTTGGGTTAAGGGAGCCTCAAAACAGCACAGAGGCACAGAAACCAGCTCACCCTTAGGGTTAGTCCTGAGTAGATCCCTGGAAGGCACCCTCCCCTCCTCTAATCCCCAGTTTGAAAATCAAAGGCAATTTGGTTGTGGCTTTGGAGTGAGTCGAGCTGGGGTCCTAGACTGGCCCTTCTCTTTCCTGTGCTTGTCCCACTTCAGCGCCTCCTCTGGGCAGAGCTGGGCTACTTTCTCCTGTGTAGATCACTCAGCCAGCAAGCCCCATCCAGCCTGTGGCTGGCTGCCTGGGGTCACTCATCCCCAGCAGGCATGGCTTTTGGTCCACCCTGGCTGTTCCAGGGCCTGTAGGGTTCATGGTGAGGGTCAGCTGCCAGGGTCAGAAGCTGGCTTGCAAAAGGAGTCTGGCAGCCCCTTGGCGTGGTTGACCAACTCATAGGAGTCCCGGATATCAGCCAGGCCAAACCAGAAGAAGATCCACTGCTTGTTGGAGAAGCTGCCATCACTGTGTTTGAAGTACCTGGGTGGGGGGAGGTGATGCAGCAAACAGTTTTTAGGGCAAGGTCAGTGCTCATTACTCATTGGTTCTGTATTCAAAGAACATTGAGGACCTACTGCATGCTGGGCACGCAGCTAGGTCCTGCTGTGTGTTATCTCATTTTCTCCTTGCAGCAGAGGCCTGAGCCTGGCATTGTGATGCTCAGCTCACAGAGAAGCAGCTAAGGCTGAGAGAAGTTAGGTACCTTGCGAGGTGCACAGTTAGGAAGGGAGCAGTGCCTTGCTCTCCACACTGCCTCAGCTGTGCAGCAAAGAGGAGGGTTCTTGCTCACTTCCTAGTGCCCACAGAGCAGGGTGTAGGGTGAGGGGGCAGTTACTGAAGGAGAGAGAGGAGGGGTGTTCCACTGGAGGTGCCGCGGGCCTCCAATAGAGCCTGAGGGTTAGGATTCCTCAGGGCCCTGGGAGAGGTGGGCTCCGTGGGGGTTAGGAGGTGTCACTTGCTTCCAGAAAAGGAGTGTGACGTGCGCTCTAACTCTGGCTTTCTGTCTGTTCTGCCCCTGGGAGGTAGTGAAAGGGAGACCAGTGGAAGAAGAGGAAGCTCAGCCTCCTTGGCACGCTTGGCAAGGGCTGGAGAGGAGAGGGAAGTCGGAGCCCAGCCCGGAGCTGGGAGTGGTGGGACCTACCAGGGATTGATGGGGTTGGTGACCCGGGAGCGCCAGAAAAGCGTCTGCAGGTCCCGCAGCAGGCACTCCCACAACATCTGACCGGAGCCTTGGCCCTGGCGGCTGGAGCTCACCACAAATTTGTCCAGGTACGGGGTGCCCCCGAGGACGGGCTCCATGGTCAGAATGGCGGCAGCGTTGTACCTGACCCAGCGGGAGAGCGGCAGGCTGGGACCTCTCCCTGGTCCGAAGCTGGCCGGCTGCCCCCCGAGACCCCGCCCTCTGGGGTTCGCAGGCTCACCCCTCGGAGACGTAGATGGAGTACAGCCGCGGGCGCAGCGAGGCCAGGTAGTCGTCCCTGAGCTTCTTGCCGAAGCTGGCGTTGACCAGGTTCACTAGACGGCCCTGGTCCAGGTTGTCCAGGCTGCGCACCCGTAGCATCCGCTCGGCGTTCTTGAACAAGGTCCCGGACCCTGGAGGAGGATAAGGAGGGCCTAGTCTGGCAGGAGAGCCGTCTGCGCAGCCTGGTGGGGGCTGCAGGTAGGGCAGGGGCTGGTGGAGCAATTTCCGTCTTTGGGAGACCTACGCAGTGAAATGATTTCAGTGGTCTCCATAGATTTATCTGTGATTTTATTTTTTCTCTTTTCTTTTTTTTCTTCATATGAGCTGTGGCTTTGTTGCATATCTGTGATTTTAATTCAAGGAGATGCATTTCCCAGGCAGAGCTTGTGCCCCTAGCTCCTCCGGCCGCCTGGAGCCCCACCCACTTCCATTAGTCCCGCCTCTCCTCGAAGTCAGTCTCCCGCCGCTTACCTCTCCCAGCAACCTAAGCCCCACCCATCTCTCACGGTTGAGCCCCTCGTGGCCGAGCCCCTCGTGGCCCCGCCCCTCGTGGCCCCGCCCACTGGACACCTCCCTCTTCCTCTCGTCCCGCCCATTCCTGTAATAACTTCTGAGTTCCCTCCAGTCTGCTGGAGTCTCCCCTCTCACCTTTCCCGAGTTTCGGCAGCAGCTGGAGCCATTGCTGTGATCGCCCTCTATGGCTCCTGGACAGGAGGAGAAGCTGCTCCTCCTGCCCTCAGACACGCAGGCCGGGCCATTGCTCACTCCCGGGACCTAGCCCCCCGCCCGCCCGCCGCCCGCCGCCCTCACCCTTGTTGCTGAAGAGCTCGGTGAGCAGCGTGCTGGCGGCGGTGATGACGGCCGAGGAGTGGTGGGGCAGGCGGCTGAGCACGTCCACGATGAGCCGCATCTGCTGCCGTTCTTTTGTGCTCACCCACTCCGCGTTGCTCACGAGGTCCAGGTCGGCGGGCAGGTTCACGTTACTCAGGACCTGTGTCCGGAGCCAGCGGCTGAGCCAGCGGCCCACTGCCGGCAGGGACTGCGCCCCTGCCTCACGGACCTCTCTTCTCTCTGACCCCTTTATCCTTTCTTCCGCCCGGAGTCCTCGGCCGGGGAGGGCGCACATCTGGGCACCCGGGGCTGACCCCCTCCCCTATACTCCCTTAGGCTTTTCTACCCACCTGGCTTGCTAGTGAATCTGCGGCCCATCGGGGAGAGGTGCGAGGGGCGCAAGGGAAGGCCAGGATCGCCGGGGAAAGAAAGGGCCGCACCTTGTGACTGCTGTCGCGCAGGCCTCCTGTGTTATTGAGGAAGATGATCTTGGTGGGCCGCAGCGCCTTGGCCAGCGACGCGGTCACCTCCAGGGAGTCGAGAAGCACAGAGCGGCGCGCGGCCGTCTCCCCAATGGGGCACAGGATGGGGATGCTGCCCGACTCCAGGCACCACTGCAGCAGGTCTGTCTCCACCGAGACGATGCCGCCGTAGCTGTGGGCCAGACGTGGTGCTCGAGAGGGCCCCGTCCAGGCCTGCCGGGCGGGGCAGGGTGGGCGGAGTAGCGCCCTCTGAGGACGCCTGGGCGGGCGGGGCGGGAGGGGGGGCACTAACCTAGCATGGGGAGCCGGCTCTGCAGCGCCTAGCACAGACCCGCCGCCAAAAAAAGGCACGGCAGTGGCTGCGTTGTGCCGAAGCGCGTCCACCAGCACCTTGCAGCTCTCGGCCAGCTGCGCCTTGGCCTCCCAGAAGGAAAGACAGCCCGAGGGCGCCGTGGGGGCGGGCAGCCCCAGGACCACCAGCGGCTTCATGTCCATGCGCTGCAAGAAGGCCAGGGCGAAGGCCAGACTGGATACGGCCCGCCGGCACTTGAGCACCTCCTCGTCCACCTGTGGAGGAGTGGGCGTTCAAGGAGCGTGACACGGCCCTGAGCCGCTGGCTCCCATGCAGGGCCGTCTCAGTGACCCTACTCTTCCAGGAGCTCTCAGGACCCACTTCTGGCCACCGGTGCCCACCTGCTCCGCCCTTTGTTCTATTGGGTCTTGCCACTCCCTTATCTCACTCTGGGGTACCTCCCGCCCTGCTCCCTGCGACCTTGGACTCTGGGACACCTTTGGGGGAGGGGCAAAGCAGGCAACTCCTGTCCTGGCCCTTCTGAATCCCTAACGGCGCCGGTGTTGGGGGCCTTCTTCAGGGCATCACACCTGGCAGGTGGGGGCCCCCAGGTTCCTCACTCGGTCTGGGCGCGAGGCTTCCGGAGGAGCTTACGGGCTAGCCCATTCCCGGCAGCGCTGGTCTGAGCTCTGCCGGGCTCCTTCCAGCTTGCGTTGCGCAGAGCCCGCAGCCTCTCCTGCCATGCCTGAGGACAGGTGGCCACACAGCCCCATCCCCTCGCTGTGTCGCGGCCCACGCCAGGCTCCGCTCACCTCGATGACCGCGAAGGGCTTGTCCGCGGAGTGGTGGTAGGTCTGGAACTGCGTGAGCCAGTGGCGCGCTTCCCCCGGGCTGGCCCCGCACTGGTTCAGGAAGGCCTGGATGTCCCGCTGCACCAGCGAGCGGCCCCGGGGAGCTTCAGGGGGCTCGTGGGGCACCAGGGCCGTGGGAGTCGACACCCACGACGGCGCCTCGGCGGCAGGCGTCTGGGAGACGTCTTCCGCGCCCGCGGACTCCTCTGGCGGGGGCTGGGCCTGCGCCCAGGCGGTGCTGAGCCGGCGCTCCGGGCTGGTGCCCCTCGCTGCCCGCCGCCGCGCGCTGCAGCTCAGCCTCCGGGCGCCCCCAGTGCCTCCCGGGCTGCGCAGTCTCGGGGCCACAGCAGCTGCCCGCAGAACCGCGGTCGTCAGCGCCGTAGCCATGACGACAACCACCTCTTGCCCCCCAAGAGTGGCAATCTGTCTGGAGCGTCTGGCACTGGGGGGCCCTTAACTTGCCGCTGGGCGGGGCTGGACCCGGCCGGGGCGGGGTCCTGACCAGGGACCAGGAGTCACCTCTGGCTGCGTTTGAGGAGGGTCAGGCCATGAGTCAGGGGGCGGGGCCACCAAGCTTACCCGCCCCTGGAGGAACTGAACCCACTATCGAGGGTCAGGGGCCGATATTAAATGTGCGGGTCGTCTTTGATCTCCTGCCAAGGTAGGTTCCAGGGGCAGCTTTGGGAGTCTGCAGGGCCTTGGGTGATTGGCATTCTGACGAGGGAAGAAGGGAACGCAGGTGGCTTTGAGCACAGGGCTGGGCAGGGGGTTGGATGGAGGGAGCTGGAAAGAGTAGAAGGGGGAGGGCGGTGTGCCGGCTTGCCGGAGGGCATGGATGCCTCTGCCCTGTTGCCTGATCTTAAAGAGCATCCTAATGAATCACCATGAGGTTACCAGAGTTTGAAACTCCAGTCACTGGGTACCAGCTTGAGAAATTCTGTTATATCCTCAAAACACCCCCCAAAACTTCTAATACTTTAGTGTTAAGGTTTTTCTTTATCAAATATCATCTCTGGTAAAAATAAAATAGAGTTTTTCATTTTATTTTTGAGATGGGGGTCACTCTGTTGCTCAGGCTGGAGTACAGTGGTGCAATCATAGATCACTGCAGCCTCCACCTCCCAGGTTCAGGTGATCCTCTTGCCTCAGCCTCCTGAGTAGCTGGGACCACAAATGCACACCACTATGCCCAGCTAATTAAAAAAAAATTTTTTTTTTTTTGTAGAAATGGGTTTTCACCATGTTGCTCAGGCTGCTCTCAAACTCCTGAGCTCAAGCAGTCCTCCCACTTCTGCCTCCCAAGGTGCTGGGATTACAGGTGTGAACTACCTCACTTGACTTCTTTAAACTTTTTAAACTTAAAATTTATCCATATTAGGTCTGTAACTAGGTCAGTTTCATTTGCCATAACAGAAGGCCTTAAGAATCAAGTGAGGAGGTGGGTGGATCATTTGAGGTCAGAAGTTCATGACCAGGCCGGGCGCGGTGGCTCAAGCCTGTAATCCCAGCACTGTGGGAGGCCGAGGCGGGTGGATCACGAGGTCAAGAGATCGAGACCATCCTGGTCAACACGGTGAAACCCCGTCTCTACTAAAAATACAAAAAATTAGCTGGGCGTGGTGGCGCATGCCTGTAATCGCAGCTACTCAGGAGGCTGGGGCAGGAGAATTGCCTGAACCCGGGAGGCGGAGGTTGCGGTGAGCCGAGATCGCGCCATTGCACTCCAGCCTGGGTAACAAGAGCGAAACTCCGTCTCAAAAAAAAAAAAGCTCATGACCAGCCTGGCTAACATGGTGAAACCCCGTCTCTACTAAAAATACAAAAATTAGCCAGGCACTAGTGGCATGTGCTTGTAATCCCAGCTACTCAGGAGGCTGAGGCCAGAGAATCACTTGAGCTTGGGAGGAGGAGGTTGCAGTGAACCGAGATTGAGCCACTGCACTCCAGTCTGGGTGACAAAGTGAGACCCTGAAAAAAAAAAAAAAAAGAACAGGAAGAGCCAAGTGAGAAGAAAACAATGTTATTACATTCCAGCTGCATAGCTTGCTTGCTTTCTTGGTAACATAGAAGGTTAGCAGGTGCCATGTGTTAAAGATACTCTAGCACCAAGCAAGGCCTTCTTTGTGGTAGAGAAATAGCTAACGCATGTGGAATGCCAGGCATTATGCAAGCACTTCACAAATAGTAACTCATTTAATCCAGTGACTCCAGGATAGATTATTATTATTATTTTTAGGATAGATTATTATTATTCCCATTTTACAGATGAGAAAATGAAAGTAGAGAAATATGTGAGGGTCAAGGTCACTCAGCTCACAAGCCATGGACCTGGTCTAGGAAGCATAGCAGTTCTGCTCCAGCTCCACACTCTTAAGCAAGTTTTGGAAAGGACTTGAAAGGCTTGAAAACATTTACAGGATATGATTCAATGTTACTTCATACTGTGTCCCTGTGCTGGGCACTGTCTGCTGCATGCATCCTGCCCTTAGGGACACTCTGATCCAGTTGGACCCTCTGTGGTTATAAAGGGGGAAAGAGGACCGACCCTCTGTTGTTGTAAAGGGGAGGTGACCTGTCCAAGGTCACACAGCTCGTCAGTGGCACAACCAGACCCTAAGCACCCTGAGTTCCCAGCCCGCTCCTCCCTTCCTTGCATGTGGTTTTGTGCTCCCCATGCTGTAGTCCTGACTCCTGGGGCTCTGCTTTATTGGGGAGCAGGGCTTGGGCTGCTTCCCTCCTGAGGATTCTCCATGGGAGGCCGAGTGAGAGCGCTCACCCATTTCTGGGATCTTCCCCGCAGTCCCCGACCCTTTCCACACACTGTCCCAGGTGGAAGACTCCCTAGTGGAAGGAGGGGCTGACATATGACCTCCTGATTGACTTGTATCTTTTCCCACTTAGAAATCTTGGGTTCCAAGGCAAAGAATGAAGAAGGGCATGGAGGGGCTGCACCCCCTACTATGTGGGGCCAGCTCCAGGGCCTTCTTTCTCTTCCCTCTTTACTCTCAGGCCCCATCACAGACACACTTTTCAGAATCCAGCAGAGGAGGAGGTCTTAGCCCCTGAGAACATAATAGTTTTCCTCTCCAAACTCCCGCAACCCAGTTTCCCTTTCCTAGGCTGCAGGCCACCCCCGCTGACCCCTCTCCACTCAGAATTCCTCCTTCTTGCCTCTGTCCTCTTTGACTCAGCGTAGGGCTCCCTGAGGGCAAGGCTGGTATCTCTCTCTGACTGGGGGCTTCCTGGGGGCCCACCCACTTTTGTCTCTGTGGACTGAATCAGCTCCATTGCCCTGAGCCTGTGAGGCAGACTCAGGCTGGGAAGCTGCTTCAGATTCCTTTGGGCTTCATCCCAGAGGGCCGTGTCCCCAGGCAGCCAATGGGGCCCAGGGATAGCAGAGTAGATGATTAACTCCAGGCCTATTGACCCTGGGGCCACTGTGTCCCCTCCACCTCCCCTTTGGTTGGGGAATTGGCCCTGCTTTCTAGAGGAGAAGTGTGAGTGTCTGGGGTCAGCACTCCTGTGCTGCCCCGCCCCTCTGAGTTGAAGGCCTGCAGGATCATTGTTGCTGTATGGGTCCCGCTCACATTTTTTCTACCTCTAAAACTGGCTGATAGATTGTTAGAGCAGAGCCTACCTGTCTCACCAGGCTTGGCTCTTGGAGATCCTGGGATCAGGGACACAGCTTCCACCCAGAAGGGTCCTGGGCCCTCAGCGAAGGAGCCAGGTTTAAGCCCAAGGCTTTCCTTCCCATACAGCCCTTTTTGGCTGCAACTCAGCCCAGCAGGGCATGAATGTGACCGGAATCAGCCAGAATGAGGGGCTGCGATTGACATTGACAGTACCATGTCACAGCTCCTGAAGGAAGGCACACACATATATGCACAGTACACAAATATAGAGCCCCATAGCCTTGAAATGCAAACAGATACACAGTGTGTAGACACATGGGTGTACAGAGAGATATAGACACAAACTTGGAGACCCACACTACCATAGTCACACAGACACATCTGCACATAGAGGGATGCCCATGTGTATGCATACAGGTGTACAGAGGTACACAGATCCACTCAAACACGTTTGCCCACGGAATTGTGCATTCACACAGGCTGGGCGCTGTGGCTCACACCTGTAGTCCCAGCACTTTGGGAGGCCAAGGTGGGTGGATCACTTGAGGTCAGGAGTTTGAGACCAGCCTGGCCAACATAGTGAAACCCTGTCTCTGCTAAAAAAAAAAAAAAAAAAAAA